AGACCTGTATCAGGCTCAAATCAGACCTGTATCAGGCTCAAATCAGACCCAAAACAGACAAAACTCAGGCTCAAATCAGACCAAAATCAGTCTAAAATCAGATGCAAATAAGGCTGAAATCAGGCTGATCTCGAGCTCAAATCAGACCCAGATCATATCAGGACCGTTGTGTTGCGCTCTACTGAAACTTGCTACTCTCCGTGCTTAGATAGAGATGGAGCTGCAGCCTGACTGAGGACCTGCAGGCCGCCAGCAGCCGCTGAGCTCTGCTGGCTGAGCCTCACCGTCTCAGCAGGAAGACTAAAAACACGGGACTTTAAAAGCACCAGCCCCAAATAAGGCTTACGTCCAAAAGGACAGAACAACGTACAGCTGTTACCCAACAGAGGCTGCAGCCTGCAGCTTTTCTCTCACTCAGCTGTTTTGACTTGTTTGGGGTGTTTTTCTCTCCTTTGTTTCCAAACCGCCTGAAGCTTCAGAGGTCACACGAGTCCACTTCAGGATTATTAGAGTTATTTGTTTTGTCTTTAGGGTGAGTTACAATCACCACATCTGCTGCCAGACCAGGTCTAGACCAGGTCCAAGATCAGGTCCCAGATCAGGTCCAGACTGGGTCCCAGATCAGGTCCAGATCAGGTCCTAATCATGTACCAGATCAGGTCCAGACCAGGTCTAAAAAAGGTCCAGACCAGGTCCATATCTATTCAAAATCAGGTTTAGATGAGATCCAGACCAGGACCTGGTCCAGATCAGACCTACCTCAGGCCCTGCTTTGCGCTGGGTGCGGATAAAGGATAAAAAGACTTTGGACCAAAGGTTGGTTTGGTCTGGTTCTGTTTTCCTGAGCGTTTCAACTGGGAGGAAATAAAGGAAATAAAGGCAGATTCCACTCATTCCACCTTAAATCCAGCCTGCGTCACCGCTCTGTCAGATGTCGTGCAGCAGGACCACAAACAGGCCGGCCCACGTGCGCTCACGTGCACGCCCCTGAGGGGCCGGTAAACAAAGCGCTGCGTTCAAAGGCCGCTGTGACCTCCAGCCTTGTCCCGCCGAGTACCGGTCAGCCTCCCTCTGCTCTTAAAAAGGCTTCAACACAAGGTCCCAAACAGATGATAAACACAGAGAAACCCAACCATTCAGTCACAACAGGCGGGCAGAAGCCAGACGAGAGGCCAAGTCTGCCCTCCACACATCATAATGTGGCCAAAACACATTATTAAAAGAGTAAAAT